CCTGATTACACGCAGGCCCAGCGAGCGACCAGTGAAGCTCCACAGAACCCGCCAGTAGGCGACGATGATGATGAAGATGAGGATGATGAGTACGGGCCTAGTCTGCCACAAGCTAGATCAGGGAGAGGCGGCCCACAAACTGGCCCTGCAATCCCAACTATGCAAGATCTTGAGCTTAAAAGAGGTACGCTCTTCTACTTCCCCCAAATATGGCTAAAGTGCTGACCTTCCTATAGAATCTGCTATTGAGGATGCCATCGCTGCCCGCGGTGAATCACGCGATCAATACCGCGCTGAAATTCGTTCGCATAAATCCGAAATGCGCCATCTCCAAGACGAAATTGCACCGCGGGCTGAAGCGGGCACACGTGAGAGACAGCTCGAGAAGCGGCGAGAAGTTGCTTCGAGTAACCGTGCATTCGCGGACGCGCGCGGTGGTTCGCCCGAGGCGGCTCGGGATGAAGATTTAATGGGCGGGGACGATGAGTTCTCTGCCTTGAAACGGGAGAAGGAGAAAGATCAGCGTAAGAAGAACGATCGTGAGATCCGGAGAGAGGAGATTCTTCGTGCGCGTACAGCGGAGCGAGAAGAACGTGCGCAGGCGTATCGACAGAAGGAGCAAGAGACTATGAGCTTCTTGCAAGCTCTGGCGAAGCAGCGATTTGGCTAAAAATTAAAAACTCGTATTCATGTGCCTTCTCCCTTCTGAATATGCTACATTCTTCACTATAGATCCATAAATCAATATACATACGGTCTACACCCTCATACTCTCCCGGCCGGCTTATCCGCGCCAAACGGAACGGCCCGACACCGCCATCGGAGTGACTCCGTATTTAGGTATTTAAACCATATGCAATCTCCCTTAACAATGCCCAAGTTACCATAAACCCAGCATGTTCAAACAACTATCTCGGCCACCATGCCAGTCAGGATTGACCCCATTAGCACCCGGTAGCCGGCGATATCTCCAGACCAAAAAGCAACACTCTCTACCAGCAGCATACTATCGCGGCGGCACCTCACGCGCAGTCTTCTTCAAGCAAGAAGACCTACCCCCGGACAGGAAAGACTGGGCCCCGATATTCCGCAGTGTAATCGGCAGTCCAGATCCCCATGGCCGACAACTAGACGGACTAGGGGGTGGACTATCCAGCCTCTCGAAGGTCTGCGTAGTTGGCGCATCGACACACGCTAAAGCCGATGTCGATTACACCTTCGTATCCCTCGGCGTCAAGAACACCGACGTCGACTATTCCAGTAATTGTGGGAACATGAGTTCCGCCGTCGGCCCCTTCGCCGTTGATGCACACATGTTCCCCTTACAGAATCCCATCCCGGATTCAGCCTCGGTACGCATCCACAACACCAACACCGGCAAGATCATCCATTCGTCCTTCCCCGTTGTCGACGGCGAAGCTGCCACTAGCGGTGATTTTGCTATAGACGGTGTCGCTGGTACTGCTGCCCGTGTCCAGCTAGACTTTATTAACCCTGCTGGCTCGGTGACGGGGAAACTCTTGCCTACCGGCAATGTCGTCGATACCTTTGATGGGATCAAGGCTACGTGCATCGATGTCGGGAATCCGTGTGTCTTTGTGCAGGCGGTTGATCTCGACGTCCGTGGGAATCTGACTCCTGATGAGATCGCTGCTCATTCGGATTTACTGCTGCGCTTGGACTCTATTCGTCGGCAGGCGGGCGTTAAGATGGGCATTGCAGATGAGGTTGGGGCGGTGCCCGGTAGTGTGCCTAAGATCTGTATCGTGGCTGCCCCTTCTACTACCGATTCCAGAGATATTGAACAGAGCCAGACGTCTGTTGATGTTGATCTTTTGGCTCGTGCTCTTTCTGTTGGACAGCCACATAAGGCGGTCCCGATTACTGTTGCTTTGGCTCTTGCTGCTGCTGCTCGTGTGCCACAGAGTACAGTGGCTGGTGTTGTGGATGAGAATCCCGTCGACAGTGCTGGTATTACTATTGGTCATGCCAGTGGAAATCTGCTGGTTGGTGCCGATTTCGATGTGGATGGGGCATTGACTTCTGCTACGGTATTTAGTACAGCGCGTCGTTTGTTTGAGGGCCGTATTTTCTGGAAGAATGATAATTGAGCGAGGGAATGGTCTTCGGCTTGTAGGAAGACTATGTAAATAACTGGGCAGAACAAGTGGGATGAAGAGAAGAGGAAAGACCTGATTATATGAGATATCCAAATCAAAACTTTTATTCTTGTACATCACAAGTGGTATATCTACATCATCTTCTATTCTAACCCCATCTCTAAGCATGTCTCCCGAGATCAATATCAGCAACCAGCTTCATATCATCAGTACCAGCCCCATCACCCAATCCAAAGAACGGTTTGACAGCAACATCAACCACCTCTTCAAACAAGCGCCCAACAACCGCCTCCTTCAGATCCTCACCAGTCTGCGCGAAATCGGGGTATGCGTTGAGCTCCAGTAGCCACACATCCCCAGTAGCATCAATGAGGAAATCAACACCAAACAACTCAAACGCATTAGGCAGAGTCTGGAAATGAATCATCATACCCCGAGCGGCAGCCTCAAACACCTCACCCGTCACCGAGCAGATCTGATCAAAGATCTTCTCCTTCCAGTCTGCACTGAGACCAGGGACGTGATGGTCGAGGTCCCAGAAGCGACGCACACTGCCTTCGTTCGAGCTACCGCCTTCCTGAAAACAGGTGTTGGTCAGATGACGAGCGAGGTCGGCGACGTCGTCTTCTTCTTCGTGTGGAGCGCAGTAGGCCTTAGCAGCGAACAGCGCAAGCATCTCCTTGAAGACGTAGACCTTGAGTGATCCCGAGGCGAGGACGTAGGTGCGGATGTGAAATTTGCGGTTTGAGGACGATGGGAGGAGGAGGGGAGGGTCGATGTAGGGTTGTGCGAGGAAGTGGCGCAGCTGCGAAGTGACGATGCCTGTGTCTAAGGCGGCGCCTGCGTTGTCTTCCGCTTCTTCGGCGTTTGTCTCAGACCCACTCTCGTCGTCTGAGTCTTCTTCCCACTCCTCGAAGATCTCGCGTAGCTGGTCTTCGCTGTTGAAGATTCGGATTCCCTGGCCTCGATCGCTCATACCAGGCTTGAGGATCCACCATTCCTTTTCGGAGTCGGGTCGCTCTTCGTTCTTGGCTAGGCTGTCGTTCAACTCGTATGCTTCTAGTAGGGCGTCGTCGAGGAATTCGGCATAGTCGAGTTCGAAGTCGAAAGCGGGCTTGAAGTGGTGTCGTAGGATGCTATCTGGGTGTTTTGAGATCCAATTGGCCACTGTATTTGAGAGATAGTGCTTGCGAATCAAAGCTTTCCGGATGATGTATGCGCTTGAAAGAGATGTCGAGGATCTGGACATGATATGTTCGAAATCGAGGCGCTCATATTCGCGGTACTGGAAAAGTGGCGCGGAAGAGTCCGGTAGTTCGGACACAGAAGACACACGCTTGGAGGCACTTCCCAGGCGACGGGTCAATGCCCGGTCAACCATTTCTTGCACGTAGGAGTCATCGCAGTCGACGAGGGAGTACAATGAGGGCTGATTGGCCGATCTACAAGATCTCCGTCTATCAGAAAGGGCGCCAATACAAGAAGAAAAGCAGATCAAAGGGGAGGGGACATGGTATCTAACAGCTAAGCCAGATATCTAAAGTGCATGCAACATGTAGATTTCGGATAGAACCCTCCATACCATGCTCCCATCATGTCAAAGTCTTCACTCACAGCTGAATCTCCCCCGAAATACCGGGTGCATGCATGAAATTGGCCTTGAGAGGCGTTATGCTGTGAAAGTCAGTCGATGTTCATAACTAAAAAAAAAAAAAAAAAAAAAGGGGGGGGGGGGCATTGGACAAACCTAGTCATTTGCTCCTTGACGGTCCAGCCATCATTGCCAGGCTCACTTTCCTCCACGCTTCGGTAAACGTCCTGGAAGCTCGGCGCCCACTTGAAATGCTTGTGTTGAATCCGGGGTCCATAGGATGATTTCTCGCTGTTACCGACAGTCTGATCCGGTTTCTTTCCTTCCGTCTCGCCTCCGTTGCGCAGCAGCTGTTCTTGCAAGTCAGGGTCGTCTGCGGCCGTGGGATCGACAGCCTGGAAGCAACTCCCGGTCCACGTATTCTGCAGCATATTGGTATATAAGACCTTATTATCACTAACGCCGGGTTCAAGGGGAACGTTGACGGTATAGAGGTGCACGTCGTCTGCCCAGTTCGCGCAAAGATGCTCAATCACTTTGACTGAATGACCCGAGGCCTCTGCAATAACAACAGGGTCATGGTTCCGAGAGCTGAAAGCATACGACAAAGCAATTGACCGCTTGCCGCAGCAGGCACCTTCCATCGCTGCGCCAATGGTCCCACTCGACAATGCGAACAGTGCGGTTGTGTTGCGACCATAATTTGGACCAGACACAATGACATCGATAGGGCCACGTTCTTTGAAATAGTGATATAGACCGATCTGGACACAGCTTGCGGGAGTGGAGTCGATCAGAACCCATTCGTCGCCTTCGTCGGGTTCACCATCACTGCCTCGGGGCAGATGGTGTGTTGTCCCGTCTTCTTGATGGAGCGTTCCGGGACGGAAGTAGGTAGGTTTGACGGACGCACCTACGATGTGCGCTTTACCAATCCATGATCGCTGCTGGTGCGGGAGAATGACCGAGACCGTGTGGCCGGCGGACTGAAGCGAGTGAACGAGCGAATGCACGTACGGCGATGACTGGTTTGACGGAGGACCGTCGTCGTTGGTGACCTAGACAGAGATGAGTCTTTAAATTGATACTGTAAGAACTATACCTACATACCAGGATATGCATTGGGGGCGGAGTGGGTTGAGATGTGAAGAATGGAGGGGAAGAAAGTTCCCCCCCGCTTTGCGTTGTCGCAATCGGCCCAAACGATCCACAATGTCATTCACACTATATCATAACGACATTACAGCATATAGCACCCAATGAGACCAGCTAGACCAATGAAATCACTTTCAATCTGTTTCTGTCAAATGACTCCGCCGTCTCTGTACTCCACGAGCTTCCGCGCTTTCTAGTCCAGAGCCTGTACCAGCTTCATCCCCCTCAGCCGGATAACTAGAAAGCAACCTCCTTTCCTGCTCTTCCGGCTCCTCCTTTTTGACCTCGGAAGATTCATCAGAAGTATCCTGCTCCTCAGTATCTTCTTTGATAGAGTCTTCCGGCTCCTCCTTAATCTCATTCTTAGGCTCAGTCCCCAAAACCCAAGCCATCGCCAGCCACGTCAAGCCAGCAGAGAGTATGGAGACAGACCAGAATAGAGAGCTGAAAACAACAAAAGAAGTAATCTTCCAGCGATACATAAGCCACCTGTCGATCTGTTAGCCACATCTTAAACATCACCATCCCCGAAAAGACCTACCTAAGCCCCGTAAGCCTGGCACGGAATTCTACCCGAGCGGTATAGACCTGCATCTTCAAGTCACTTTGAATCTCCAGTCGCAGACTCTGCGGTAGATTCTGCACCCCCTTTGCAAACTCAAGGTGCTCCATCATGGGCACTTCCAGCGTCTCCGACTCCCGGTACCAGCCAACAACATAGAGCGGCATACGCGCTGCTCTGCGGGCAACATCCACCAGCGGCGAAGCATAGGTCATGATAGCAGGGCGGCGGGCCTGCGAGATGGGGGCATTATTCGGACCGGGTAGGAGGGATGACGCGGGGCGGGAGGAGAAGAGGGTGAGGTCGAGCATGAAATTGCCTGTATCGAGGTTTGAGGGTGTGCGTGGTAGTTCGAGAGTCACAGATACGTCGTATGGCTGGAGAGCCACGAACTCAGAGTCGAAGTTTGCTGTGCCCCAGGGGTTGCCATTGCTATGCGCGAGTTAGTAAAGCTTGGTGACTAGTTGTGGGGAATGTGATTGTACCCGAATTGTAGATGGACCTCGCGCTGTAGTCCGACCGTGGGGATAAATTTGAAATAAAAGACTCCATAGGCAACTGCGGAGATTCCTATTAGGAATGCTGCGGCGCCCATGAACATCAGCGTGTTCAGGTATAGCCGTAAGGCGGACTTGGATACCAGCGCGCGGAACGGCGCGAGGACCGCGTCCTGTCTTGCGTCAGTTACAATTGGGAAACTTGCATCAATATACCCACCATGATGACTGCCCTGGCAGAAGATAGGCCATATTCGGACTCATCTCCAAATTCGGAGTCCGCCATTGTAGAGGGAATAGTTGGCAGAAACAAGCTGGGAAGTTGTGTTCTCATGAGGCTTATCCTGTTATCGTCGTTATCTGCACCGAGGTCTCCGTCCAACCTAGGAAGCTTCGCCCTACAACCATATGTCTACGATGATATCTGCCAGTTCCTTTCCCCTGGATATATTCAGTCTAGGGCGTGAGTGATAGTGTGACAAGGAGTGACAAAGAGCGACAAAGAGTGACAAAGAGATGTGGTTCATTAAACTATATGAAGCCATATGGAGGGTTCAAAAAGAAACTACAATGATCATAAGAATAGTAAATTAGCATTGCCCCATGTAGATAATGAAGACACCGTCAACTCCAGCTTTTACAGTCTCATCATTACAGGTCGCGGGCAGCATGAGACGCGAAAAAATATCATGGAACCTCAAGTCATGCGAAAATCGTAAGAAAAAATAAATATGCATGCCATCACCGCGGCTAACCCCTGCCGTAACATGAAACTGAAAAGATAAAATAGAAAAAGGCACAGAGGAGCAATTGCGTAAGAGAACCCCGTGAAAATTACATGCAACGAAGTACTCCTGTACCGCCCGAGTCACCAGAGAAAGAACTTGAGGAGAGATATGGAAGGAGAGGATGAGGATGAGAAGCCCAGAGAATCTTAGGCGATGGGCCGAGGGCTCTGTTGTTGGATGTGTTGGAGAAGAGCGTCGAACAGACGGCCAATCTGAGGAGGAGTTAGTATCGTGAGATTGTGGAATATTGGTGGTAAGCTTACCTCAGGTGCCGCCTGAATAAAGGGGAGGCGGAAGAATGAGTAGCTCCGGTTCTGGAGGAGCTCCTGCAGGGTGATGATCAGACCCCATGGATGCGGGCGGTGGACAATCAGCCGCTCTAACAACACACGAATGATTTGCTGGCGAATGTCCGAGTCATCTTGCTCAGAGTAGTCCACACCAAATAGACGGAGAATCGTGAAGCTAAAGAAGTAGGTGTGGCTGTTGGGGTAGCGGAGCTGGTTGGCCATTGCGCTGAGCAAGTAGTAGCGACTTTCAGGTCGCAGAACTTGGGCGATCTTCTCCAGAAGAGCAGCGTGAGTCGAGTTCTCAAAGGCGCTGCGGGTGTTGCCTTTGGAAGCATGCTCCACCGCGGCTTGTTGACCAATATACAACACAAGCGCATTAACCAGGACGACATCCACGTCGACAGGGACAAAGAAGAGCCCAGTGTCCTTGGAATCAGGGTTAAGAATTGCGTCGCAAAGCTGCTGAACAGCAGACTCAGAGATGCTCTCGTTCTGGAGCACATCATCAACGATGTCCTTGATGTTGGCGAGATGCAAGGGCGCAACGATATCACCAGCAATCTTGGGGATTTCCCGCATCTCCTCAATACGCTCGACCTTCAAGCCTTCGCGGAAAGGATCGGGAAGTTTCTGGAACGAAGAGGGGTATGCACTGAGGACAAGATTACGGAGCTGAGCGCAATGGGCCGGAATCACATTGCAGAACTGGAAATGGTTCTCAGCCACGAACTCGGGGAAATCGTGGTGCAAAATCAACAAGATACGGAGAACGCCCTTGTATAGATCTTTAGCAACGTATGTGATATTGGCAGCCTTTAGTTGCTCGCCCATGTAGGACAGCAAGGCTTGCATGATTTCGCAGTAAGGCGCCCATCCTGCACGGTCGGGCATGTTGAGCATGTCAGACATGAAGACGCGGTGGGAGACTAAGCAAAGCCAGCCATAAACGAATCCGGGCACATAACGGGGCTGGAAGGAGAGGAATTTGTTGGCCAAGGCGAAAATCATTCCCTGGTGCTGCTCAGTGTGCTGGAGGCCGTTCATGGAGTACTCGCACAGAATGCTTGAGAAGAGACGGAAGAATACACGCTGGTTGAAAGCTTCTCCTCTCATGACCTGGTGGTGATTGAGGACCAGCACCAAGAGAGACAGAATGGAGTTAAAGTACGTAGCCTTGCTGGCTTTGACAGCGCCAGCGCTCTCGCCCTGGAATCTGATGAGAAGAATGACGAGCTTAGCGAGGGCATCGATGTAGAGGAAGGCCTCATCAAGGCTGCCGTTGGGGTTCTGAGACTCATGCTCAAACATGGCGACAGAAATGTCGATGCTAAGACGGAAGAATAGTGCAGAATCCTCCTGGCTGTTCATCACTTGGCGGTTGTGGAGGTCCTGAAGGAAAGAGTGGAAGGTGCGGTCCGTCGCACCAGGGGCCTTGTAAATACCGATCCACTCGCTGAAGATGTACTCCATTTGGTCCCGCTTGGACCTAGCTTGATCACCAAGGAGAGTGTTGACGACTTCGGGAATACCAGACTCGCGCAGCTTTCGCACGATTTCAAGACCTGGAGCCACGCTGGCATCTTCAGCAAGCCATTGGCTCATGGCATCCAGACTGCCAGAGAAGTCTGATCGAAGGGCCGAGGGTTCTTCATTGAAAAGAACGCGATCCATCAGATTACCCAGCAACTCCAAGGCGGGCACGTTCCTGGATTGAATGAGTCGGGTCAGGTTCGTATCGACCCGACGGATGTCAAGGAGACCTGCGTCAATGAGAGCAACGGTGACCGGCACATTGAACATGTGCTCATCATCAACTTCGGAGAGTAGTGCCCACGTGTACCGAGCAATGAGACTGGACATATCGCACAGCTTGGCAAGAAGGTGCACGAGAACTTCAATTTCGAGAGATCCATGTGGCTGGGAATACAGAAGGGTGCAAACCTTCAAAGAGGTCAGTCGTGCTAGCTCCTCTCCGTTCGTCGAGTTAAGGATGCTGCGCAATGCTTGGTTGTATTCTTGAAGAACTGCACTGTCTCTGCCAAGATCCTTGACGTGTTCTTCAGGGGCGCTGCGAGCAGACTGCTGTAGGTCGGAGACAAGGCTTTCAACTCTTTCCCGGGGGCTTTGAGCATCGAGGAACCCGTTGGTCTGAACGGGGGCCATTTGAGAAACGGCAGGCTGCGCCTGGGGGGTTCTGTGAGGGATGGCTGGCTGCTCAGCTGGGGTGGAAAGGTTTGGAATAGCAGGGTAGGATTCTCCAAGAACATCAGGGAGTTGACGGCCGGCCGATGCATCAGTGGATGGCGCCGGGCCTCGGGACTGACGGGCAAACTCTTCGTATATGGCAAGTTGCTCCTTGTTGAGACCGCCTGGTGCTTGGCGGTAAGGCTCCGGAATAAACAATCCCCAACGGTTCATTGAAGGATCAATGAAAGGATCGTTAGAGCGACTGGCCTGGTGGCGACGACGGGCCTCCAATTGAGGCTCAATCACCTTCTCGATCTCAGGCAACGACTTTTCCTCCGCCGCTTTCTCGACAATGCCACAGGCAGCATCCAGGTTATCGTTGACACACATAAGAATCAAACCCTCGGGGATGGGCTGCTCGGAGTAGTCTTGCTGAATCATGCGGATGTAGTTGGTCATGCTAACCTTGAGAGGCTCTTTACAGGTGACGAGTGCCAGGCTACCGGCAAGTTGTCTAACCATGATGCCCGCGGCATGCCGCACGCGTTCCTCATCAGGTTCCATGGCAAAGTCCTTGGAAACAAGCTGTACAGTGGAAATGGACGCAATGGTGACAGAGCGCTCAACGACGGGAGTAATAATCTCGGCAATGGCACGCTCGACTGCGGTGTGCACAATTTGTTTGAGAATGGTGGGGTCGACCATGCTGCTCGCCGATGAGGGCAGGACAAGGATCTTGTCAAGACTTGGCAGGGTTGACATGATGGCGGCCGGAGACAGCCTCTCGTTCCGGATGGCTGGGTTGATAGTGCCGAGGGACAGGTCCTCAAATGGTTCAGTCAGACCCTCTGGGGCGTTAACAGTGGGCAGTGGTTCCTCGACATGTGCAGCACGATCGCGGATGACGATTGCAGGCTCAATTGTCTTGTGGTCGAGATCAAGATCTTTACAGAGGACTTCAATCTCGAACTTGAGATTGAGCTTTAATTCGGCGAAATGATAAAGCTCCAACAGCAGGCCCAAGATATCCATCAGCCAGGGGTTGGGTGGCTTGAAGACCGTGGATTTGGTAGCCTGCACAAGAACTTTGCAGGTAAAGGGGATCGTAACCATGAGGCGTTGGGTGTCATAGCCCTCGAGAAGCAGGCCCTTGAAGTAGATGTTCTTGTGCTTAATAGGTTTGTCTTTGGCAATAGTCAACGAGCCAAGCCAAGCACCAAGGTTCTTCAGATGACCGCGATCGGTGGACGAGCTTAATGTGCCTTCTGAGTTAATCAACTTAGCGACACTGACATAGGTCTCCCGCAGGACCTCGGCCCAGAGGATCTTGTCGCCAATGCGCCCAAGAAGGTCAAGGTAGAGCTGCTGGAAATTGGGCTGCAATTTGGCACGTTCTTCCACCAGGTACGCGGCGAACCACTGGTGGTGTTGATCGCGCAACACTTCTTGAAGATCTTCAAGTTTCTCGTCAATGTTCTGCTCAGAAACATTGTTGAGAACGAAAAGAATCTTGTCCTGGATGTCTTCATCCGGATCTTCGTAGAGTTCAGATCGAAGAGGTGGGTCGAGTTGAATAGCACGGAACTTGCGCACGGAGCCATCGGCGATGGGAGAGTCGATAGAATTGCCATTGGCCAGGGGCGCAGAAGCAAGACCATCGAAGGGTCCTGCCTCCGCTTCGCCAATCTGATTTCCTTGTTCACGGAGCACCTCCTCTGCCTTTTGGTAGATGGGCGTGCCTTGAAGAGAGGGAATCTGGAAGAGCAGGTGGCAGAACCCAGCCCATTCGGGGAGACGGTTGATCAACTGCTCAATCGCTTCCACACCAAACTTGTACATCGGGTCATGGGGTTCGTGTTCGCGGACAGCCTCGAGGATCATACCCAGGCCCACTTTCAGCGTGATGCCGTCAACAAGACGGAAGTTGATGATGCCACCAAACATGACCGCAGTCTTGGTCAAAGCCTCAAGCGGGTACTCATGGTAGCAATGATATTCGTCGACTAGGCCGTGTACCATGCAGGCAAACAGATCTTGTTCTATGGGGTCGCGCGAAGACTTGTATTTACGCATCAACTCCAGCATCTCACGCAGGGAGAGTTCCTCGTGGTACATTTTACCAAAGAGCTCTTGCATTTGCTTGTCGATGGAGTCAGGCAACGTGTTGCCGTTCTCGCCATTAGCGTCGATTATATCATCGAATCCTTCGCCGTAGTTGATCAGGCGAGGGTATGTCTGAATGCAAATGCGTTGGACAGGTGTGAGATTTTCGCGGTCTCCAACGTATTCCTCCAGTACAGACAAAAGCGTATAAACAGTCTTGACTGCGAGGCTGACCATTTGATGAGCAGACTGCTCCTTCCGTTGGACGTGCAATTCGTCCTCGGCTTTGATTCGCAGGAACTTGGAAAGCAGACCACCCATATCAATGGCGCCTTTCTGTGCGGCATTTCGAACCCACTGCTCAAGGTCAAAGGGACTTTTACGGTGAGAGTAGCAGGCAAGATCGAGAGCAAGACCGTTAGTGAAACCCAGGAGATAATCCAGCCATCCGTATGCCGCGGCGTGCTCATAGATCACAGCAGTAGATGTAGGATCCTGAGTGAAAGTGGTGAAAAGCTGCTCTGATACCCATTGTCGATCTTGACGCCAGGCGCCGTGGAGAGCGAGCTGATACCCATCCTCTTGCTTCGAGATGAAGACAATGAATGTGCGCAGCACAAAGCTTTGCTGAACACTGGACCATGGCTGGGGAACAGCAAGAGCGGAAACGAGGAAGACTGGCAAATCGAATTGAACAACAGCTTTTATAAGGAGCTGGCTTTCTGTCGCAGCCCACGAAGCCTGGGAGAACAAAGCAAGATCGAAAATTGCTTTCATAGCGTCCATGGACCGAAGAGGTGACTTTGCCGCACGCTCGCCTTGCAATTTGACGAGATCAGGGGCATCTTCAAAGAAGTCAGTGGGGAAAGTTGCACGAAGATTGGTGATGTGCGATGGGTCGATCCGAGAAGCCACAAAAGCTGTCAGGAATGACATCTGCGTGTCACGATGCTCCCAGTCTCCACCCCAAAGCTTTTGAACATCCAAAGACGAGTCGTCGACCGACATGGCGGAAAGAACGCTGTACAATTTGGTGAATTGCTTCGGATCCACTCGGAGGCCCTCACGATCGAAGTGGCGGAACACCAGGGGCCAATTGATAGGCTTGTCGTTATATGCACTTAAGAATGTCTCTAGTGAGAATTGTTCCCAATATTGCGACAGGATCATGAAGAGAAGGGCGCTGGCTAAATGTTCTTCACTCCAGTTCTTCTGGTCTGAATTTAGCAATTCACTTATTGTCTCGATATTTGCAGTGGCACGAGCTCCCTTGGCGTGAAGCTGTCGCACAAGGACATATTGAGGGTTGACAAAATTGAACATTTGTAGAGCAGAGGAAACTTCGAATGGCATATCCAAGCCAAGTTTTTGGTATCGCAGATTAGCCGCGTAAACCAGCTTCGCCTTGACATCGTCGGTAAAATTGCGGGGAGGGTATAGGATGAAACGTTCAATCGTCATGCCAAGGAAGGAGTTGTGATAATCCTTGGTCACTTCGTTGGGACTCGCCAAGCTCTGCAAGAAAGGTGCGATAGAATTCGAGAGGATGGCATCGGCTATCGAGGGTGGTTAGAGCTAATCAAGAGGCGTAAAGGAGCAAACATACCTTTAGCACGAAGATCTGACTTGCTTGTCAACTTGAAGGCCAAGGCAAGTGCAACCTTGACAACTGGGTCGAGTCGGAAATGATCCAGGAAAGTAGAAAGGTCGAAGTCGCGGAAGATATCTCCTTCAGAAGTATCTACTGTCTCAGCGATTTTCTGGGCTTGCTCCATGTCAGAAGACACTTTCTGCAGTTCCTGGACAAGGAGAGGGTAGTTGCCCGCATTCTCAACGGACTTGTTGACGCCCGGGAAGATTTGTGGCGCATTTCCTGTTAGGAGGCGGCGAAAGTATTTAGAAAAGACCTCCATTCCGTTCGATGTCACAAGCTGCGGTTATTAGAATCGAGTGGGTTGAAATATATGGCAGCACCACTAACCTTGTGTATCTGGGCAGCCTTTGTCTCCCACTTCTCTTTTCCCTCCTTCTCTGTAATAGAATCGAGCAACAGGAACACCTGAGCAATGGAGATTTTGGTGAGCGACGATTGGCTCGAGTGGGCGGCTGTGGAGCCCGGCTTGTCAGAAGCGAAGCCTGTGGGAGAATTCACGGTTGTTCCGGACGAGAGCGGCGAGAAGACGCCTCTGGAAGATCCCGGCCCACCACCTCCTCCCCCAGTACCTCCTCCACCCGGGGTGGAGCCTGTAGTAGAGGCCAAATGGGACCCTATGGAAGGGGTGTGAGCTCGGAACTTAGGAGACGAGAGGGTTGTTGCGTGCTGTTGCGAGCCAGATTGCAATGATGTGAAGGGCGAAGATGTATGCTTGGGACTTCCACCGGAGAGACCCCTGGCAGAGCTCAGCACAGCAGAGAAAGAAGACGGTGTCGAAACCCCAAGGCCTGCGTCCAAGCCCCGGGAAGCCGTGGGGGGAGCGGCGGAGGATATGTTGGTCGCGAGTGGAGTCAACCCACGACGTGCGCCGGACTGCGACACGGACCGACCCCAGGCACCAATATCGGTCCTGGTCGAAGAAGATTTATCGGTGCCAGAAGCAATCGACGATTGGGCGGAAGGGTGAGGGGGAGGGAAGGTCATCTAGGAGACGCGATCATTTGATCTGGAGGTCCAAAGACAGATTTTTAAGAGTCACAGGCGCAATAAACGGGGGGAAATCGATAAAGCAGATCAATAAAATAGACGCGAGATCATGCGATATCGAGAGAGGGAGGGTATTGGGGAAAGAATATGACACTGTGGGAGAGGAATGGATGGGGGAACGATGAGATGGAGAGGTTGCAAGAGGAATGGGGTGCAAGGTGCGAGTTGTCGGAAGTGTGCCTGCCTCAGGTGTCGAGCGGGAGCTCCCAATCAGGCACTAGGGGGGGGGATATAAGGCACACCTTGCGGTCTTTGAAGAGTCGAAAGGTTGCTCGAGCTTTACCCTATTTTAGACTTGATGATTGTGTGATTTTTACTTCCCTTGTCGGTCATTGCTCATCATTTCCAACCTACATGCTGGGGTTGGGAGACGGTCACGGTCACGTGTGGTGTCTCTGCACGTGATGTTTGGCTGAGTCAGCTACTCTGGGGTCCACCAACCTGCCGCTGCACGGGTCCATGAATGCTATGCCTACCTACCCTGAAGCAATACCTGCTATACAGAGTGTAGTCCAAGCATAACCCAGCAATATTAGAATATGAATTACTTCGTCTTCCACTCCCATATTTGTATGTTCCTATTCAGAGATTTCTGGGGCAGAAATTCCTTGATAGCCAATATGCTATTTTGCCCTACATAGGGTAAAGCAAGATATATTGTCCATCTTCCAATATTATTGAGGGGATGATGATAGAACGGGTATTCCATCAAATGCTAAGATAGGATAGAATTCAACCTAGCATCCTAAGAACATAGTAGATGAGAACGATATATGATGAAGCATATCGCAGTACCTGAACCATACCAATCCAATGAACGCCAGAGTCGAAACCAGTAATAATGGCCGATCAACAGATAGAGTAAATATAACCCAGAAAAAATGAAAGAATAACTCGCAAAGTAATGAGAATCATGTCATACCGCAACGACAGTCGGCAAAAAAAAAAAAAAAAAAAAAAAAACAAAGTGGGGGACACATAGTCACGGATAATGCAAGAAACGACACATCCCGCAAGGCCAATAGCTTGCGGGGACAAGAGGAAGATAAAATCACACAGTCGAGAAGGAAGACGGTCATGTGCACATGAGTTTGAGACCAGTTCGCAGGCCAATCCAACGCCAACGCCTATGTCCGCAGCAGGAGGGACCACAATGAATAAATGATATTGTTTCAGGTTGAGTCCAACTAGTCAGTCAGAGACACACAGTAGCAGGGGCTGGCGTAAGATGCCTGCGCAGTATATGTCTGGGCAGTGCCACCTTTATAATTGGTGTAGGTAGTAGTCGGCGTGGGCTCATTCTCTTTGATGTTGATGATGTTGCCCGAAAGAAGCGCCAAACCTCCGTCATTGCGAATTTGCATTTGCTGACAGTAAGGAGCTTCGCGTGATGGGTCGTCTCGACGCTCCTCCATCTTGATCCTCCGTGGGTAATCGGAAATGGATTCGCCGCGTTTGGAATCAGCAGTTATACCAGCTGTGCTTGCTGCCATGTCGCTGTTGGTGGCAGCGGTGGTGCCCAAGGAATGCGACGTCGACTGGTTGACGTACAAGAAGAACTCCATCATCGTGTTATTCCACCAACAGAACCACGGCTTGTCGCCAACTTCTGCAGTCTGCTTCAGGTTCTTGTAGGCGTTTGCAGCTGCCCACCTATCGTCCACCCACGTGCGCTTGGAAAGGGAGTTAGAGAATGTATCCTCTGGAACAATGACTAACTTGTCGAACGGAGAAAGGAAAAACAGAGCAGGGCCCATGCCAATATCTGTGGTATCAATTGCCATACTCAATGCTTGTGTAGGCGACGCAGACCAATACGGTGGCTGGGCACCATATGTAAAGGTTGGGGTTGGACCAGTGTCGCCGAAAATGATAGAATGGTGACCTTTGGATTCGTCGACAAAAATCCCGAATTTGTTCGACGCTTGCAAGCACTTCCAGGCTTTCCCGTAATTCGTCTCGTCCACGCAAAGTCCTGATCCATTTTGATAACCGGAAGGAACCACATAGTGGCCGGTAGGTACTTGCTTGAGATAAGTGGGGGTGGATATCAAGGACGCGTCCATCTGAGGGGTTGCAGTGACCGTTATAATTGGCAAGGCGCTGGATTTTTGAGCTTCTTGGTCTTCTTGTTTTGCAGCTTCTGCGGCTTTCTTAGTTCCAAGAACACCACCAATAACACCTCCAATACACCCTCCAATGAGCATCACAGTCGCAATGAGGACAAATGTCCACACAGGTAGGCCACAGCATGCGGTCTGTTTCCCCTTGCGTTTGAGTTTTTCTTCGAAGGCCATGATGCCTGTAGTCGCAACGACTCTTTCCTGTCCATGCCCATTCCCACCATTGTTATCGTCGCCAGAATGTTCAGGCACCAAGGGCCGTGATGAGGTTTCTGAAATCGGTGGTGCTCTTGGGCTTTCATTGTTGAGGCGCTGTTCCTCTGGTGGGGTGTTGAGATCGGCCGTCGTCTCAGCCCCTGGAGGCTTGGGTACAGCACCAGTTGGATAGCGGGAATAGGGTGGTAGCGGCTCTGCATGACCATCCGGTCCAATGATGTCACCCACATCATCAGCCTGACGACCAGCGGGCGGTTGATATGGTGGGTTATGGCCTGGAAATCCGACTGGGATGATATCATCATCCATTCCTTCCTCAACCACATTCTGCGAGTACATCGCGTAGGGGTGCTGTGGACCAGTTGATTGTTCAAGTGGACGTTCTATTGGGCGTATCGTGGAAGTACTACCTACACTGGGCGACCGGCTGACCCCAACTTGTGGATACATACCATATGGATGGCTGGGTCCGGTGGCTCCGGTGTAAGGGCTGAGAGCGCGGGGAATCGAGAAACGAGAAGAAACACTTTGATTTCGTTGGATCATAGAAGGCGTCGAGTTAAGAGATGAGGTCGAGTTACGGTTGTTGGCGAAAGCGTACCCCTTTTGGGGTAGACTTGACCGATGAGGTTCATCGAAGGACACCCGAGCGTCATCACCAAAAGGGTTCTCGTTCTCGGTCGGGGCTGTGCTAATGGTCCTTGACTGGGTATTTTCACGAAGAGTAGAGGAGGATGCAACGGAAGAGGGACTGTGGGGACGTTCGATGCGATCGGAGTCAATCGTTTCTAATGAGTATTCGTCTGCGAAGACATTCGGATTGGAGGTGGAAGTGCGACCGAAGGAGTGGCGAGGTGTCGAATCCCCGGGGGGGATCGTGGGGTGTAAGAGGATCGTGAATCAGAGCGAGAATGCTCCGATGAAATATGACCAGACATTTCCTATCGGTCTGGCAGCCCTGTCGGGCCACCTCGTTGTTTGATCAATCCGTTTCGCTACCCGGCGAGGATGGGCGAGGAATGGGGAGCACAAATACAGCAGGCTCTTCAACTCGAAGATGATAAGGAGTCAGAAGAGGTTTGGATTATAGATGAGAGAAGATGTTTGTAGGATGAGAAACTCAAGTTGGGGAAGGGAAGGGAGGAGTTTGAGACTTTAGTGTGACGAGTTTACTGAGGGGAGCCGGGGGAGAGAAGTCAACCACTCGGACCAACTGAAATTCTTGGCTGGTGGATTTGGACTTTTGGATGATTTTTTTTGGACTGTATTTGCTTTCTTTTTTTCTATTTGTGTTTTTTCTTCTTTTTTTTTCCTTCTCTACGGAGTAAAATGTTCTCTTTTCTATTTTGGTATATAATAATGTACGGAGTATACGGAGTACTATGATCTACTCCGTGTTTGGGACTCTGACTGCGCTACTACGCTACTGCGACTAGGGCGACCAACTAGCGAGCCCATCCCGTGGTGGGCCTAAATCGACTTCGCCACTCTGTATGCTACATCTTATGCTATTTTAATATTTTCTACTATCTCCTTATACGGAAATACACAACATTTGAAGTTTCCAACGTAGTTTTGGCAGTACAATTGAATTTGAAATGTTTTCTCACGTGAGAATACCAAACCCCCTTTTGTGTGTTGGGTCTGGAATCCACGAACTGGAGAACTGGACCCTGCCGGACCAAATGCTCAGGGCCTCGAGTCTGGATTCGCGAAAAAAAAAACAAAAAATTCAACTTGAAATCCAAAATGTTTAGAGATCAGGGCTGAGCGGATTATCTCGAGATGCCTTGCGGACTAATCGTAACCCGAGGGTTGCACCTGGGCAGAATTGTTCACCTGTCATGATCATGATCATGATCATGATAGGTGACCTGATGACGGTGACCTGATGATCCCCTAGGGCATCCCCTACTCACAGATGTTGCAGCTGAACCAAAAGTCCATTCGAATATACGATGTCAGAGTAGTACACATACCTATTTATCGATCCGTAAAATCGATTATCTTAACTCCAGGGCTTAGGGATTATTAGGTATCGTATCCACGGTAGGCCTCCCTACTCCTACCCAGAAAGGTTACGATATTCGGTCTCGACACAGATATCCGAGGAACAGCCGTATGGATCAACCGTTTTGGCCGTCCAGGTCTTCTTCGGTCCAGCCCCTCTAGCACGGGGTTGCGTAACGGGATCCATCCAGGGCCAACCCCATTTGACTCCATCCGACTCCATCTGACATTAGATAGATCGGGTTTGATTTTCATTTGGTATCTATGTACTAGCATTTCAGGAGAACCTGAGATGGTTCCTTGGTCTGATTCTAGACCTGGTTCATCCATGACTTGCATCTAGATCTACAATAACTATCGTAGGTCACATGTGACTGGGAAACACTCAATTACCCATTGCTATAAGAGCTCTCCATATTTCCCCCTCTGTATATTAGCAAACACCATAAATGTACTCCATAAATGTAGATTTGATACTGTGTAGATAACTATTTAATATCCTGACCATTATTAAATACGAGAGAAGCCTTGATCACGTCTAGACCAGCCATGTTTCTCCACCAAGAATTACATAACATACAGCGCAGATGCCAGCAAATCAGCTATTCCTCAAATAAATCAAATCTCATTTTGAATGCTTCAATAGGATATGGGAATATGCAATAGATGGTTGATACATTGCAAACTTTTCAGCCTAACCTTTATATAATACCAAACGCATCCTATACGCTCTTGTTGGCACCCAAACCGGTTCATCAACATGATACAGTGCATCGCGGAGCCCGTTACTGCGTCATCTGAGACATTCGAGGTGGTCCACCAAGGGCCCCAGTTTGTGGAGCAGGGGCGATGATCCGGTGTAGATCCAACTCTATCACGTAGCACATAGCTATTAGGTATATAAAAGGCCTTCAACTTCACTTGAATCTCATCAGGACGCAAAAAAAAAAGGTTCGCTTGCTTGATTTCCCCCCGAAACTGCGTCTGTAAGTTTCAGAACCATCCATCCTCGGGCGATCTGCCAACGCATGGACCATATATGTTTTAGACTGCAATTGAAGTAAGCGTGACATAGTGTAAGAGGGATATACTACATTCCATGGCTGCAACCTCACATTGCTCGGATCATCGAGCCAATGATCACCATCCGAGATTTGAGAGCGCTATGACTAGTGAGGCCTTAACGAGCGATTCAGAGACTGCCATATTTCTATTGGACAGGATATACACCTTCAGAAAGGCTGAATCACGAGCCGTACAGTGTACAGCATGGCTCTTTGGAAACACAGATTATCCCAACGCCCTTCGAGCGAGGTTGTCCAGAAAGGGCATAACATGTGGGCATAGACCTAGCGGTAAGACCATATCCAACACCAATTAACTAATATCATCCGACTCCATCAAAATACAGCGAGTTTCAAATACGTGTAACTGTCTCGGCCCCAAACTTCCCCGACTTCTCCACAACCTAAAAAGCTTCGTGTTCAGTCCACTAACCAAGATGAAATACCCTGCACGCATTAATTGGTTTTTGGGGAAGATACTCGTCTACCAAAAGCTCTGATTGGTCTGTCTACTTTGGAATGCAATACAAAATAATTACTGGTGATCTAGGGACAAATGGCAGCTGATCTGAAGCAAATTGTGTGGCTTCGCTATGCATTATCCCGTTGCCGTAACCCTCGTGGCATCATGCAGAGCTGGGGAAAATAGGATTTGTTTATTGTTCATTACCTCCAGTTTTGTTGTATGTTTGTATATCAACAAGTCTATACTTGTCGATAATCCAACGAGCCATCATGGGTATTTTCAAGCGGAAGATCACCGTTGAAGACAATGCCGTCACATCTGCAAGTCATTTGACTCTACGACAGTCTCTACCCCTAAAATATACTTGGTATATATCTGCTCAGGGTATTTAATGGCAAAGCTCTAACATTGGTGCCATAGCTATGATCTTCTTTGTTCTTTAGGGATTTGCGTACCGACTGCTGGATGTTATGCATTGGCATTTCCAAAAAAAAACCCTCAGTATCACCGCTAGCAAGTCCAGTGGCCTCCAAGTCTCATACTTTGGTGCCTATTTTATCTGCCACTAACCATACTGGATCGCCCGCAAATATGGATTCCGAGTTACCTTCACTACTGGTAAGAGGCACGAGGTTGTTTCCAAGGATTCATTTGCGTCGCCAGCTGACTTTCTTCTATGAGCCAGGCCTCGCCGTTCTAACTGTTGGATGTCTTCTCTTCTGGCCTAGAAGTGTCAAAGGGTCATTTGGTTGATTTTGTGGTAGCATGTTTGTACGTTAAACAAAGCAACTCACCCCAAGGTATACCTCTAACACTACCAATAGGTTGTTGGTGCTGGGCTATCTACTAGAGACTGCAGCCTATCCCTTCCTCTCGATATGCGGACCCCCGAAATATAGCGAGATCCGTCTGAACCTAGGACAGCCCGTGTAGGGAGTGGGAACCTTTGTTGCCCCTCTTCTTTCTTCTGGTATCTTCTTTGTCAACACCGTAGAAGACAACGCCGGACCGAAGAATGGCCAATAAACATACCTTGGGGTAGCCTGCTTTGTCGCTCTACTTATCATTCTCTTCTAGTTGGCTCCCTTCCCCGAGATCCCAGATACAGACCTGGAAGCACTGGAAGCCCAGATCTCCGAACATGGTGAAGACACCGGCCCATTCAAAAAGCAATGTAATCTGTTCTGCTATGTGGGAGTATGAATGGCCGCCGCTGGTTATTTTATCAACTTCTGCAAGGAAGCTGGCAAAACCTCTGCAGAATAATCTAAGTGATATGAAAAGGCCATCTCTAGGTGTCGAAGTTTAACAATACTCTCCTAGCCGACTTGCTCGCATGTTGGAAATGATTATACGGGATAGGGCATTTCTGGCTGACAAAGTATTCCACCACGCAGGAGATCTCATACGGGTCCCAGTCCCGCAGTAGTTATTAGGCCTGCGTGAGGGAGCCTTGACGAGAGGCTGAGATTATGAAATGGCCACTAATCTAACATAATGGGATCGTGTGGAGCCAACTCCATATCTAGGCAGTTACCGACTCGTTCATATTGTAAATAAACAGCTCATGTTCGCATAAAATACTAGAAATTGGACTTCTTTGATACGCCTAGTTGACATTTGGCTCCCCTTACTGATCTAAAAACCTTTAATCAGATTTGCATTAGTGCTAGATAATTCCTATTAGGAACTACGAGTCTAATCCCTAATCCCTAGGAACGACCAAGAGCATGCCTAGGAACCATGCCATAGATCGATCTATAATCTCAGAAACGTAAGGTCTGATTTACGAAATGAAAAGTGGGCTCTGAAATGTGCTATTGATATCAGGGATATAAATTAAAACGCGACCAATAAGTGCGCCCCAAATTTGGACTGCGGGCGTATTTGTAGGCTTCTCCAGGGGGGGTAGTATCAGTGACCGATTTCTGATATTAATCATTGTGGCCGGTATAGTTCCGGGGAACGAGCCCTGTACGCTAAGGAGAAAAGAGAAGTGGCGTTCACCACGTTCCATGGTATCGAAGAGCCGCTAATGCGAAATGATTTGGAAGCCAAACAATCCTACGATAGATGGTTCGGTACATGGACGTATTTAGTGGGGTAATGTGCACAGGCCTTTCAATGTGTAGCAGTGGTATGCGCTATGCTCTGTCTAGCTTTCACCTATTCCTTTTCTAAGCGCGATTTTTTCTTTGATTGGTTGCTAGGAGAAGAGTGTCTCATACTGTAGTTTTCGCCAGTAAGAAAGATGCGATTGTAGAATTCCACTTGTCTGCTTCACTGGGTGAACCTTTTCCCTTTACATTCTCATATGCTATGATTTCTGTAATATTTCTATCACCTGTCTTCCATTTCTTCGAAGCCGTAACTTTTACGCCCTATCAAGAGCCTACCTAAGTAGATCTGCTTGTACTAATGTCATATCCCTCCGTATCGATCGTCTCTCCGATTGAATACACCGCCCCACCGTTCCCGAACATCTATGCTTGATTCACCCAATCACCCTAGGCGATCAGACCGTCATTACAATCCGCTACTGCCGCCGCTTATGATATTATCACCCTTCGACTGCCTCGTTGTCGCCATATCTGCGCACTACATTGCTAACCCCTGTTAATGACGCTCTTTAAGAGCCGTCTGCCCCGACTCTCGTCGCGCCCACTTCAGTTTTCCCACGATTTTCCTCTTTTAATATCCTTAGTCGTTCATACTACTATCAGCTATGCCGAATCGCTCCCAAGAACACCCAACTCAAGCATCCAGTCCCTCAACTCAGGAAATGGAAGCACATCCGCCGGCCCCTCACCCTTCGGTGAATGCCCATGGAACCTCTCACTCGGCACTGGAGCTTCCCACAGGCTGCAGTGAATGGGGCCTCGCCACCTACACTCATAACCGTGGCCATGACCCTGAGACGCGCTCCTTTTCCTTCAGGGACGAGCAAGTTCGTTCCATCGGGTTTAACGCAGGTTATCCACTGGATCATGAACAAGGTCTCTCTATCCGCTCACATAACCATGTTATCTCTTGCTAATCATGTCTCGCCATCTCTAGATCGTCAAAGTAATTGCACTTCTTTCGATGGTTGCGACAATATCCAGTCTCCCGACCATGTCAGGCACTGTTACACAAATACAAGCATGGATAACTCTGCTCAGGTCTTCAATGGCGACATCGCCCGCGCTTATGATGCGTCTTCTACCAGAGAGCATCATTTACACGGTGGGTCTGTCAAAAATAAGAGTAGGCTTGTCAATGGAGATCTTGATAGAGATACCTTCCTAGCTATTTTCTGCAATCCTAATGATGAGGCTCGCCTTGAAGGAGGTCGGCGAGGGGGAGGGCGGCGGGAGGGAGGGAGACGGGAGGGAGGGCGACGGGAGGAAGCTCGCCCTCGGCGGCGTGGGTCCCGCATGGAAGGTTAGGCCCTCCCATAAGAGCGGGCTTGATTTTGGCCGTTCACTACTAGAGTTTAACTTAATATACTCTGCCCGCGAATCGGTATATCCAGGGGCTATCATATACGGTTTTTCATCATCGGGCTAGTTGATAACTTGTTAATTGCCCGGCTCGCTGCCTAGGCCCGGTGCGATCAAGTGTCCTTGATATCGTGTACTTTTCTATCCCCTTGTTAGGCAGAACACCGATATTGAATAGAAGAAAATGCCGGTATAAATCCGTCTACCCCAAAATATGTACTATAATGCCAGTGAGCCCTTTGTGGAATGAGCCACGTCTAGAAGAGTGTAAAGAGAACAGCTGTTAAGTCTATTCGGCACAGTTGAGAGTTAGTGAAGAGTAGGGAGTTACTGCCCCCTTTGTGGAGTAGCTATATCCAAGGACCATTGCCTTCGTACTTTACTATTTCGCTGGAATAAATGGAAACTACGTTTATGGCTAGGCTATTGTATGGGTAAACTATGTGCGATGGCTTCTGGCGAAAAAGATGAATTCTATAGGCTCGACCTTACTTGTGACCACGAATTTGTGGAACGGACTACCGTAGCACGGAGGCTCACCCGGTTGGAATACTTGTGTGGAACTGTGGGAATAAAACTGGAATTTCTAAGCCAACCAATTATCTAGTTATGTACACTCTTGGTCGCTCCTAGGGATCAGACTCATAGTTCCCAGAGCACTTATAGCTCCTGAGAGTGGAGAATATAGCTTCGGGGAACTAGGAGTGGGTTCCCCGGGCGTTAGCGTTAAGCAAGATTAGTGCAGGTGGATCAGTGGGGTCAGCCACACGTTTTATATCCGTCCCTGGCCGGCAATGACTCCTTTCCTCTTAGAAGTCCAGGCCTGAGATGACTGATCTATATGCAAAACTCTAAGCCTTAAGTGTATACACACGACCACGCGAATCTGTACCCTTAAGGACGATCTCGTCCCTAGTACTCGAGACAACGCGGCGCTGATCACCGCTATGCAAAATAATATCCCAGTCCTTTTAAGTAGGAGTAAAGTTAGCCTTATCATGCTCAAACTAAACAAGTACCTACTTATAACTAGATTTCTCGGCTCATCCTATCGCGTAAGTGCTCTGCTTGATAGAAAGCATTGAGGGACACCTATTTTAATCGAGGCCTATTGAAACCCATGTCTTCTTTTTACCGCAACTATTGGCAGCGACATTTTGATGCCTTTAGATGCTTAGCGAGGGAGACGAGTGCGAGTCGTGTTGAGAGAACGTGATACTGAGTCGCTCAAAAAACGTTGGCTGACTGTTGATTCCATCACAGCCCTCTTAAATTGAGGCTTTGCAGTGAATTGGAGATACTCAATCAGTAATGACAGGCTTATGTTCCTTGTTTTAACCATCTCATCTGTGAGCGACCCAACGTTGAATCACCACAGAGTGCTTACACTTTCATCATAGGAATCATCGACGTTCTTTTTTTTAGCCTCGCTAGTCTATACATCTCAACGCTTTTCGAGGAATCAATGGTTTTAGGGTCATGTGTGCGAAACAGCAAAGTCCATTCTAGGCTTTTGGAAGGGTAACGATGAACGTACGAGTGCTAACGAACAGGTTCTACGACGGCTACAGTTAGATGCACACAAATATAAGCTATGAAACGGAACATAAGCACCGGATTTTAGGCCGCGTGAGATAGCTTTCCCGTTCCGTTTTAGTGCTTATCTCTTACTGCTTTCTCATCACTGAGTATCATCATCATCACCTGGCCATTACGTATGCAGATGACTCCCTCACTGAGTGTGATCTGGATACTCTAGTTTACTCACCGAGCAGCCGCACGAGCCAAGTAAAGCACGAGAGTAGTGAAGTTAGCAGCTCCTTGGGTGCTTTGATGCCCTTTTAAACAATGTAGCAGATCCACTGGCTAAAGAAACAGCCAGCCTAGGCAAGAAACCCACATTGTTATATCGCTTCTCAAGGAGAATGCGCTCGTTCGTGACCGCATCGATAAACAGTGTGAGAAAGAACGGATAATCATCCAAGAAAAATGAGCCATCTGCGCATAATCGAAACCGCTGCCGTCTAGGAATACAAACCGTTTATATGGTCCACTGCAAAAGAACGGTTCACGAAGAAGCATAAAGCGTAAAGAACGATGGAAGATGACCAGCTATGAAGAGAGATAGATTTATCCAAGGGAGTAAATAACTCCTATAAAATTGAGGCAGTAAGGTCTTTAAAGTTCCCCTTTCTAGATACAGCAATCCTCAATACTCTAATTGTGTCACTAAGCAGGGTCACACTGCCATAAACAACGGATACCACACTAATAGACATCACTCACATATCTATTAGTTTTCACACTATCCAGCCATAACTCCGCCTCTTCAGCAGTCTTGTTTTTCTGCTCCATATAGATCTTCTTGAAAACTTCTGCTATACTCTGCCCCAACCGTGCTGCGCTGCCGCATAAGAATATTTTGCCCCCAGAGTGGAATAGAAGCCCAACTTCTTCTCGATTGTCCCAAATGACGTCTTGCACATATCGTGGGGTGGATCCATCGAGAGGCCGACTAAAAGCTGGTTTGACAGTTACAATTTTCTTGTCCTCCCATGACCGCAACTCGTCATTGTATAGGAAGTCCTTGGTTGAGTCGCGGCATCCATAGAAGAGGATTGCCGGGGCAAGCTTCTTCACGCCAGTCTCGGCAATACAGGCCCGCTCTTGCAGGAAAGCACGCATTGGTGCTATTCCAGTTCCCGCAGCCACCATCAGAATGGGCACATCCGGGCTTGTAGGGAGCCGGAAATTGATGTTGGTGGGGCGCAAGTAGCAGTTAATGCGATCACCGGCGCTTCGCGAGGCCATGTAGGTGGAGGCAACGCCATAAAACATGCCATGGCCAGAGAGGGACGGCGATTCATGTACATCAAAGGTTATCGAGGCAATGTTGGAGCCAGAAGAGCCGTTGCGAGGCTGAAGTGGGGATGAGGAGATGGAGTATTGGCGAAAAGTCAGCGGTTGAAGCATGTCAATATAGCTGCCAAAGTCAAGCTCTGTGGGATGGTCTTCAAGAACATCGATAATACTGTAGCGCTTCTGAAGTAGTCTGTCGTATGCAAGGTCGGCTGCTAAGCTTTCAAGATGTATTTTTGCCTCTCCATTGGCACTCGCCGCAAGAACTGCCAACTGGCGCTTGGTGATTGGAGTATTTAACTCGACCGCACTTTCAAGAAACTGTATGACCGGTATCGGCTCCGTAGGTATAAACTTCTTCTTGGACCCTTGGACGTACATGATGTCGTCCTCGCAGATGCCAAAGTACCTGAGCACCCGACGAACAGCTACCTCTGGATTTTTAGGCTGCACAGCGAGATAATCTCCAGGTTGATATGACAGTCCTTCTGGGAGGCATATGTCCATATGCCTCTTAGCAAGTCCAACGTCTGCCCCTGCAATCTCGGTGTTGTCGACGACCAGACCAACATTCATCTCCTCACCGCCAATCGTTTGAGATAATTTGCTGGCAGTTATTGACACTGAAATGGACGGCCGTTCACCGAGGACTTTGTCCTCTGATCCTCCAAGCTTTTGCAGCAGAGTTTCAGACCATTCTTCCCAAGGCCCAAGGATACTTCCTTTGACATCAGCAAACCCTGCCTCGAGTATGCGGGAAGCTCCAAGTTGAGTCATCCTCTCATCTACAACCTTAGGGATCCGTTGGTAAGTTCTGGCCCAGTCCGAGCTCCCCAGTCCAAAAACCGTATACTTAACGCCATCCAGCTTATTTTCTTGCTGAATGAGTTCCAGCCAAGCAACGAACTTCTTTGAATTGTCTGGTGGCTTGCCCTCAAATGATGCGGTCACAATGATGACTGGCTGATCTGTGGGTAGGTTCTCAGTTGCTGCGTCCATGTGCATAACGGTGGGCCGAAAGCCAGATTCTGTCGCCTTTCTTTCAAATTCCAAAGCGAATCCCTCACATGTGCCGGTATTACCACCAAATAAAATGGTTATCGCAGGTGAGTGCTTGGCCGCAATAGGTTTTGTGCCAGCCTTCTGCACTCGCTCCCCGATGTTTTGTACAACACCCCCGCCAGGCATCCCCGTTAGAAGACCTTTTCCATGGCGGCGCCGAACTCTCATTTTAAAACTTTTTGGCTTAATTGTGAGTGTGGACGTGACTAGCAACTCGTACGAAGGATCGGCGAACTCGAGCTGGAATTTTTGAAGGACCAAGGCAGTATTGGTGAGCATCTCCTGTTCAGCAAAGCCCCGGCCAATACAGGCTCGCATACCGTTACCAAAAGGCTTCCATGAATTAGGAGGTAGAGATGCGAATCCACCATTGAGCATACGCTCGGGCCGGAAAACATGTGCATCTTCGCCCCAGACGGCTGGGTCTGTATGCAACCCGAGCATGTTGCACTGAATGAAGGTGTTGGACGAAACTTTGTACCGTCCGCCTAGGGATGTGTCTTGCTTTGGCTTGACTACGAAAGCAGGGATAGGGCTGGACAGACGCAACGTTTCCTTGATGCATGCATCGAGATAGAGCAAGCTTGGTAGGTGTTCAACCGTCAGGACAGAATCCCCCACGACGTTGTCAACCTCTTGCTGCGCCTTGATAAACGTTTCGGGGTTCTTGAGTAAGTTATAATAGAGGAAGCATAGTGTGGCACTGGTTGTCTCATGGCCGGCAACCTACTCATGTTAGCCACTCCTGCTCAAATTGAAAGTAGTATATTTAGTAGAATTGTCTGACTTACAAGGAACGTCACTAGGTTGAACCGAATGTTTTCATCCGAAAGTCTTTCCCCAGTTTCTCGGTCAGCCGTCAATAGCAAGGTGTTTAGTAGATCCTTGCAATCGGGCTGCGGGTGTGCTTTGCGATCTCTAACGATGTCGTCCGCTACTGCATGCATCTTGGATATGTCTTCTTGGCGCTCATTCTCGCTCCAAGTCAACACTTGGTTGACTAGCCCAGGCCTAAAGGCCCGCTTGCCTGAGGCGAGCAAAACTCGGGCCATCTGTTCTGCGAATGGATGCACCTGCTCACCGTAGAACTCGTTGAACCTGAAACTGAAAGCACACAGGCCAATGGTGTCAAATGCCAACCTGGTCAGATCATCGGCCACATCGATTTCATTCTGGGCACCAAGCCTGTCCCACTTGAGGACCATTTGTGAGGAAATATCAAGCATATCATCGAACATCTTTCGGATCCCGAGCGGCCCCAAAGCTGGAACTAACAGGCGATGGGCTTTCCCCCAGTTTGGCTCAGAAGGGTACTACTCAGTATCATAGTATGTTAATACGGACAATCTAGCTGCTCAGAAGTGAAGGAATCATCAACCTACAGCAGTGAACAATCCATCCCCAATCAAGGATCGAAGCTCGATAAGGGGCCCGCTCGGCAGTTTCTCGAATCGATCCTCGTCACAAATCTCATCCACGTATTGTTGGGAAGAGACCACCACAAGGTCTTCCCCAAGTTTCAGTTTAAATATTGGACCGTACAGATCGGCCATTTTCCAAACTGACTGGAAAGGAAAGCTTGGATCCATTTCTGGTATATGCCCGAGAAGCCCAAAGAAGCGCTGATCAGGCAAGGGTATATCTTCTAGCTTGGAAGGATCTAGATTGACATTGCTGCTTGGGCGAGACATGGTCAACAAGATTGGATGCACACCGGAGAAGGAAGGGGCGATGGAGAGGCTGTTTGACAAAATCTTGTGTAGGTTTGAATAACTCAACTTGATGTGTCTTGACACCATTAGGTCAGGCTCTTATATATCTATTTCCTTACATACTTTGTGTCACTTTAGTAAGCGGAGGTTCTAAATGCATTGTCCCGGCCGTTTTAAATCGACTATCGAGTTGGCAGCCTAGAATACCTTTTACGAAGGACTTGGCTCATGTAACGCTTATCTTGTAACAGCGAATCCTCGGCCAGGAAGTGGATCTAACGCGGGTGTCTGGACTTATGGATCGCTGTTGCGGGAAATAATACAGGCTATTTCACCAGACCACAATAAAACGGTTCTTGTTTATGGCTTGGGGGGACCTTATTCCATTCTGACAGCTGTACATAACTCCATGCATATTTCGGTGGGCTCCCTTTTGGCCGTCGAGCCTACTGGACACCAGAAGGCCCAAGCCTGCCTGTGGGTTGGTCGACCTACGTCGGTGGTCTTAGTTGAACCGAGTCCGTCTGTAGCCTAAGATAGCAGAAGTCGGGGCAATGTCAAAGAGAAACCGGAACATAACGGAAGTCATGGGCAGCTCCAGCCGTATTCTCAGTCAAGGGCGCTAGCTTCAAATTCTTCTTTCCAGTTTACTCTCTGCAGAGTACTACGCGGGTTCAACGACAAATAACAGTATCTAATAACTATGTATCGAGGAATCGTCTAGATTTATTATCTGAGTTAAGCTGTTCTAAGGGCGACTGTTGGAACCACCGAAACATAACTCTCACTTGTATACTATTCTCAACTTTTCTTTTATATTTCTACACATATATATATCATAATGGTACGCCTAAGTACTGATCTTGAAACCTATAAAGATGAGATTATCTCTTTTTTTCGAACCGGCGTATCTTTTAATTCTATATAGTTATATCACTCTACGCGATATATATAATTATAATATCACTATAGCAATACGCGTATAGGGAGATCCACTTACTATATCATCTAAGTTCGGCTCGGCGGTTAGGCGGGACGGAATATATTAGACTTTAGTTTCATGGCTACGATAGTAACGGGTTAGCCTTGGCAGTAGGAATATAAGGACGTATAGTTTATGTCGAGGAAAGCTTCGAGCGGCGGCTATAGTAAGCGTACAGGAGTGGTAGAGGGGAAGAGAGAGGAGGACGATTATATGGCCTTGACGCTAAGAAATAAGGTGTAGGAAACTATGAATAATGTTATATTTATTACGTATTTTCCATATTATCGATCTAAGTTAGTATTTTAGGTAACTTTTCATATCCCTAGCTAGGATATACCTTTAGGCAAGTTGATATAATTATAGAGGTAAAAAAGACTGCATACTATATTTCCAACATGGTACTTGTAGAGTGAGAGTAGATCTAAAATTCTGACTCCCAATATAGTTACAGTGGCGTTTCATGAGTACTGTATTTGCACCCCAATACTATACTTATACCGTTGACCGCCCTGCCTATACCGCCTGCTTATTACTACTGGTATGAACCCCACATGCGCAGCAGCGTTACAAGTGAGTGAGTGGATTAAAAGTTCTTCCGGCAGAAAATAAGTGGCTTCCGAAGTACTAGGGTGCAAATACTCATGAAACATGACTGTATGTGTCGAATACTAAGTCCGAATACATGGTAGAAACCAGGTATTATACCGGAAACATCATGTGATATTGGGTACCAGGCATACTAGTTATACAAAAGTGTATATTATAGTTAGTCATCGATGTCCGCACCCGTGGACAGATTGTTGGAATAGCGGGTTTTGTCATTTTAGTTAGAGTTGTCAATATTAGTCATCTATACCATAAGGTTATTTTCTGTCATCATGTTCCGGCGGTCCCAACAGTCGTTTGGAGATATTCACCGCCTACTAATTCTAGTAAAATTACTGCTGTGCACGTGCCAAAGCTATCGACTGCTGATTGGATGAATCTCGACCGCCTACTATAGCGTAATTAAGTTGTCTATTGATCAAGATGTTCACTCTTCTAGCTCTTCTAGGACTACTGTCTCTTCAGGTTTCACTAAAATTGCTTCGTCCTGCTTATATTTGAGTCGGGCTACTTTTTGCTGCAGTTGCAGTTGATTCTCATAATGCCGGACGAGTTGAAGGGGAAGAGCTTCCCCGACGTCTCGGCGAAACTCTCCGCGCTTCCAAAGAAATCACTTTTTGAGCGTCAAAAAGCCGAGGCGGAGGCCAAACGCGCCCGGGAAAAAGCAGAGACAGCTGCAGTCTATGAAGAATTTGTCAAATCTTTCGAAGACGAGGATTCGGTTGTACCACAGTCATTGGATGGAGGATCGAATGCATTTAGAGGCAGGGGTGGTGGTCCTCCCAGGCGTCATTTCGCAGCTTCCTCTTCACGCGGCAGTGGCCATGGACCATTAGCCCCCCCGCCGCCCTCCATTTCACACAAGCGTTCCCACGAAACTTTCCCCCCTCCCGTCGCGACCATCTCAAATTTGAAAACATACTTACTCCATCTGAAGCCGACAGAGCACTTGACGAGGAGGAGAGAGCAGCTCCCAAACCGACGTTGTACCTCGCATCGCTTCCTCCGGGGACATCTCTGTCAGTGATTAAAGCCTTGATCCCCTCGACCCTCACCGTGGACAATATCAAGATCATTACCCCACCTGGACAGTTGCCAACCCACCGGGCGTCCTCTTCTGCACTCATCACCCTCGCAAGCGACTCGGCCGCCTCTAATATTGACACAGCTGTGAGCACGCTGCAGAACAAATATCTTGGCTGGGGGTACTACCTGACCCTCTGTCGACACCTTTCTTCTACTGCGATCAATCCAAACATCCCTTTGGCCACCGGCATCTCGTCGACTACTACTTCTCTTCCGTTTGGCGCCGAGTCTATTCCAGCGAGTTCCGGCACAAGCTTGAGTCGGGCTCCACCACCCGGGCCACATCGCGGGGGATTCGCACCCCCAAGCTCGTATGGACCAAACGTCGGTCGAAATGGCCCAACTACTCAGGTGCAGGTGGAGCTACCGACAGACATAAGAGTGTTAAGACAGATACACAAGACTATTGAGCAACTCGTGAAACAAGGTCCTGCATTTGAGGCATTGTTGATGAGTCGGCCAGAAGTCCAGATGGACGAAAAGTGGGCGTGGTTGTTCGATGCAAGGTCGCCTGGTGGTGTATACTACCGGTGGAAATTGTGGCAGATAATCACAGACCCAAAGAAAAAGAACATTGATAAGCCGGCTGTGATCTTTGAGGGTGGTCCGATCTGGTTACCCCCCAAACAGCATCTCAAGTTCGAAAACGTTACTCGCCCGGACCAATTTGTGACACACCCCGACTACGACTCATCTGACGAAGAACATTCGGATGGAGAATATGAAAGACGGAACTTTGGTGGAGCACCTCCAGAAGGAACGAACGCACGTGGCGATGAACCTAACTTCTTGAACCCCTTGAAGATGGCCAAACTTACTCATCTCCTTGCACGACTTCCGACGACCCATGCAAAGCTCCGACGAGGAGATGTTGTGCGAGTCACAGCATTCGCCATTGACCACGCGGCAATCGGGGCATCCGAGGTTGTTGACATGGCTATTCGAAATGTTTTCCGGCCACTAGCTTACACCGGAGCTAACCCAAACCGGGAATTGGAAAAAAGTGCTGCCAGACTTGCGATCACAGATACGGACAATCCACCCCCATCCGATGGACTATTGGATATGTCTTCCGCGAAGCTGGTCGGCCTCTATATCATCTCTGATATTCTTTCGTCGTCGGCAACCAGTGGCGTCCGCCATGCATGGCGATACCGCCAGCTGTTCGAAAACGCTCTTCGCTCGCGCAAGGTGTTTGAGCACCTTGGTCGACTAGATAAGGACATGAAATGGGGACGACTGAAAGCAGAGAAGTGGAAGCGCAGCATTGGCTCCTTTTTACATCTGTGGGAAGGGTGGTGTTGTTTTACGCAAATGAACCAGGAGCATTTCACCCAAGTGTTTGAAAATCCACCACTTACAGAAGTAGAATTACAAAAGCAGAAGGAGATGGAGAAGGTCCATGCAGATCAGGCTGCCGTTGCATTTGCCAAAAGCAAGAGTCGATGGAAGACAGTTGATGATGAGCGGGGTGGAAAGTTCGACCCTACTCTCCCTGCGAATGAGAACAATCTATCTGCCTCTATCAACGCGGTGGACGAATCAGTGAATGGAAAGGATGGAACTGCAATGGAAATTCGTCACTTGAAGAACATTGATGGGGAGTTCATGCTTAAGGCTCCGCCATCGGGCGATGAAGATACCCAAACCGAGATACCCCAGCAGCTACCTCAGCACCCAACTCAATCTGACAAATCCGAACAATCAGCTGGGCAGCAGGAGCCAGAAACACGGCGACGAAAGCCACGACCCAAAGCCGAAGACATGTTTGCCTCGGATTCGGAGTAAGGTTGGGCATGATTGTAATTGTACAGATTATGGATAGCATCGGATGATACCTGAAAGATACTTGTAATGAATAACAATGAACTATGAATGATTATTTAAAAAGTTTTCTCTTCTAAGGTGATAGATAGAGACAGAACATCCATGGATATGTACTTTTGAGATTTGTCAAGCAGAGGCTCTTCAATACATAAGGCAGCGAGGCATCATTGGCAGAACATTTCCTGCCCCACAACCCCTCATCAACAAATACCTTTCTCCTTTCGCGCTCAACTTCCTGTACCCTTCAAATACAATCGCATCACCTTTTTCTTTCTTTCTTTCCAAATCCACAACTTCAAAATGGCTGGTATGTCTTTCTCTCTCACTTGGCTCGTATATATACCCCTCCCGAAGGGGATGGAGGGGTCCGATCGTTTGGATCCCAGATAGTGTGTGACTATGTTGCGCAATGCGATGAGAACTTGATGAAGAAAAAAAAAGCGAACATAAAGATGGGAAATTAACTAACAAGATTGGTGATCCATACAGATTTCAACGCTATCGCTCGTACGTTGTACCCTCACTTTCCTGGTTCATCCATACACATCCAGCAATGCGCCTGTCCCCAACAACCCTGCCACCCTCGGTGGAAATGATGCTCTAAGAGATGGATGTCATATCATACGCAAAGAATAGTGTCCTAACTTGTGATCAACCTGTACAGAGCAGTTTGTGCAGTTCTACTACCAGACCTTTGACGGAAACCGCGCTGGCCTGGCTGGCCTCTATGTAAGCCCCGCTCTCGAGATATCCGTACAAGCGAGACATATGTGAATGTGGACTAACAGCAATCATCAAACAATAGCGTGACCAGTCTATGCTTACCTTCGAGACAAGCTCGGTCCAGGGTGTCTCTGCCATCACTGAGAAGCTCAGCGTTAGTCAACCCCAAAATCCTGCCCCACGAGGGTCAATATGAGAAGAATATTCTAATACTGACTTTGCAACTCTAGTCTCTCCCCTTCCAGAAGGTTCAGCACCAGATTGCGACCTTCGACGCCCAGCCCTCTAGCGGAGATGGAATCGTCGTCCTGGTTACCGGTGCTCTCCTCGTATGTTGAATGCCCATGACTTCTTCTGCTTTCTTAGCTAATGTCAATTTCTCTATCAACAGGTCGACGAGGAGCAGAAGCCTATGAACTACACCCAGTGCTTCAAGCTGCAGCCCGATGGCGCCGGAAGCTACTTCGTGCTCAACGATGTCTTCCGTCTGATCTACAGCGCCCAGTAAACTACGGGCCCCGAAACAAATACCACGACGCAATGACAGGAGGATGTGCTTTCTTGCGAAGAGGATGTTCCTTGGAGGCGATCGGGTTAAATATCTGTCGTTTTGTCGCAAGTGACACCCCTCGACTTGCGATATTCCCATGGAAGGATTTTTTAAGAATTTATTTTTTGGATCGCCAATCATTCTAGAACTGTATGGGATTTCTCTATCAAGCTACGGGCTACCACTGTATAAAAGAAATAAGTAGCAAATATGTTATGCGCACATCATTAGCTCTGAAGTAGCGGCGTCTCCTCGGATGGCCGCTCCTCATTCGCAAATTCTTGCTGGACACTCTCACCAGCAGGACCCGATCCATCGGGCGACACATTCTGATCAGCCGGCTGCCCAAGTTCCCGCTTATCGTTGGACCCGAAGTATTCAAAATAGATCGCCATCGTTAATAAGGTACCCTGCAAGAAGGCCGTGACAACTAACACTCCCCAAATACTCCAGCCGCTCCAGCCCTTGCGGGCAGCCAGGCTAGCAGCCCATATAATACTCCCCGGTGTCTGGATACACATCATAGGGATACTCAAGCTCCCCACGCAACGCAGCCGGAAGGTAGTGTAGATCTGCGGAAAGTATTGAATCGACGCGAGGATCGCAGCTAGAACACCGAGGAAGTTCGCCCAGGCCGAAACAGCGGCCGGCTGGCGCAGCTCGACTGCCAGGGAAATGATGATTGTGACAAGCGCATGCAGTAGACATAGTCCAGTTATGACGAGCGCAGTACGGTAGGTCGGACCGCTGGAGGTGGAAGACACGGTGCCCACTGGGTCTGTGGGGGATGTGGCGCGCGGGAAGTAGATCACGAATAGCAAAAGACTAGATACGGTTAGACAAGCTTGGGTGTGGGTTCGGGTGTGGGTGTTCGGTCGGGAATCAGAAATCACTCAGCGTTTCGGTCGACTCACATGGAAAAGAAACAGAGCCATTGCATGGCCACCTGGAATACACCCAATAACCCTGCGAAGCATGCAATCCCGCTGATCTCCTGGCAGCAGGCGACATCTTGTGCGGTGGATGGGAATACCAGGATATTGGCAAATGCCGATGTCCCTGATGTTACCCCTAAGAGAATGAAGTATGGGGAGATGCCGAAGGAGCTTCGTCGGGAGATGATGCGGATGTGTTGGGGGAGATATGAGAGGAGGATGCCGAGGATAATCAGGCTAGTGTATGGTACGTCAGTGACGGGGGACTGTTCGTTTCGGATTTGGGGCACGTACATAGATAGCACAGTTTGGAAGATGCCTGGCGAGGCCAGCTCGCGGCAGTAGGGTGTTAATGGGTCCATTGTTGTATCTTTCAAATGTATGAAGCTCAAATGAGGAGGTCGGGGTTCGGGAGCTCGTGACAACAGCCGATTACACCGATTCGTCACATTGGAGATTTTGCTCTCTACTTCAACGAGATGAGAGGGAAATCGTTATTTTCAAAAACAAAGAAAAGGCATTCCCAAGATATAATGACCTTGAGTACCTCGTTGGGCACCGCTCTTTAGTTTAACTACCTCTCTGCCTTGGTGCCTTAAATAATGCCTAGTTAGGATTAGTGTCGAAGACGTTCCAATGTTCGAACTATAGGTCGTACCGAACATCTCCAGATGTCTCTACTGCAGACTCATGAATCCTTACTTTCTTATATGTTTACAGTTCTCTCTTTTTCTGTTCAAGATCCGAGGACATACGCAATGTTCTTTTGATGAGGCGGCTAAGTGTTGAAGAACTTGGTCTTATACATCTGCCCCGCTTTCTCAGATCAACAAGAACCTGGATTCATCTTTCCTCAACAGCGCATAATGGACGGCCTCTCAGTAGCAGCCAGTATTATCGGTGTGATCCAATTGGCTGGATCTATTGTCAAACTGTGTGGAGGTTACATCCAAGATGTAAAGGATGCTAGGGCCGACATCATTGCTCTGCGACAAGCGATCAACGGTCTCGTCAGTGTTCTCGAGAACCTTGCAGCTGTTCTCCACAATCCTAATTCAAGGTTAGGTATAACATCTGTATTGAAAGACGATATCCGCACTTGTCTCTTGAAACTAGAAGCCCTTGAAGTGAAAGTTGATATAGGAAAGGGCAAAAAAGCGATGAAAAAACTTGGGTTTCGAGCGCTGAAATGGCCGCTGAAGCGTTCAGAAGTCGAAAGAGCGATGAGCGATATTGAGAGATACAAGTCTTCATTTTCTTTGTCGCTGCAGGCTGATCAAATGTGGGTGTTGGCTGCATTTGGTGTTCCTCATAACGCGAATAAAGCTGAATTTGCTCATCTACTAGGGCAATCATTACCGATGTGGCTGGAACAACCAGCTTGATTGATCAAAACATGGATCTGCAAAAACTGCCAGTTGCCCACGGGGCTGAATTTGACTCTTACATGGATCAACACGAAGACGAGTGTCTTGAAGGGACCAGAACAGACCTCCAGCAACAAATCGCAACATGGGCAGCATCACCACAAGGCAATTGCATCTTCTGGTTGAATGGAATGGCTGGAACTGGAAAATCGACCATATCCCGCACAGTAGCCCTGTCTTTCAAACAAAATAAGCAGCTGGGCGCCAGCTTCTTCTTCAAGAGAGGTGAAGGGGACCGGGGAAATGCGACGAAGTTGTTTACGACTTTGACGCAACAACTCATGAGCAATCTTCCTGGATTGACTGCTGCGATTCGAAAAGTAGTCCAGGATGACCCTCTCATTGCGACGAGAGGACTCAAACAACAATTCAACAAGCTTCTGCTTGAACCATTACTTCAATTCAAGAGCCCACATGAAAACCGAATATTGGTAATCGTGATTGATGCTCTAGACGAGTGTGGATCGGAGAACGATATACAGGCAATTCTTCAATTGATACCACAGCTCCAAGAACCGAAAGAGGTACAGATTCGGGTCTTCTTGACGAGTAGGCCAGAGTTGCCAATTCGTCTCGGCTTTTCAAAAATGGCCAATCAGGACTACAAGAATCTCACTCTCCATGAGTTACCGGAAGATGTCACTGCGCACGACATATTATTATTTCTGAAGCACCGACTAGCTCAAACCGGGAGGGAACGCTCATTATCTGTTGACTGGCCTGGAGACATCAAAACACAACAGCTTTTGAAAATATCTGTTCCACTCTTCATCTTTGCTGCTACCATGTGTCGCATACTTGATGATCTTCAATGGGACCCTATGGATAGCCTCGAAGAGATCCTTGCTTGCCGAGGGGGGAGCGCTAGTCTTCATGGAACATACCTCCCTGTATTCAGTCGACTTCTTCTCAATCAGACCGAGAAACAAAAGAAGCAGCTTATACATGAGTTTCAAGACGTAGTCGGTACAATCGTCATCCTTGAAAGTCCTCTGTCGGTCATCTCTATCTCTGCACTTCTTGGCATCTCCAAAAGTGTCATCAAATTGAGATTGAGTTCGTTGAACTCGGTGCTAAGCATCCCGGAAAATGAAACCATGCCGGTGAGACTCTTCCACCTATCATTCAGAGATTTTCTCCTTGATCCGCAGACATATGAGAAGACTCCATTCGCGATAGATAGGAAGGCGTCACACTCAAAGCTGGCGGTTAAATGCCTCTTAATATGTTCAACTTTACAGAAAAACATCTGTGGACTTGAACATGATGGAAGTCAAAGATCCGAGATTGGCATCTCATCTATCAGCCGTTGTCTTCCTCCCGAGCTTCAGTACGCGTGTCGTTTCTGGGCCTACCATTTCACGCAGGGTGACGACTCAAAGTCATTGCATAATGTTCTCGCCTTCTTGCAGACACATTTCCTTCACTGGATGGAGGCAATGGGAATCCTAGGTCTTGCACACGAAGTGGTAGGAATCATTGACCTCCTACACTCTTGGGTGGATGTGAGTTTATTAATTATTTGATAAGTATCCATGATGAAGCTGACCAAGGCAGAGCCACAAGTCCCGTGAGCTTTCTGAGTATTTACAGGATGCCAGACGATTTGCGTCAAGGAATACCGTCGTAGCAAATGAAGCTCCTCTCCAGCTTTATTGCTCAGGTCTTCTATTTGCTCCGAAAAACTCAGTTATACGAAAGACCTTCACTAGGTACCTTCCTACATGGATTTCCAAAGTCCCAGACGTTGAAGTAAATTGGAGTGCAGACGTTCACTCTTCTGATCTTTTCTCAGGGCAGGTTTTGCCAATATCCTTCTCCCCGGATAGCCAGACTTTAGCATATGGTGCTCATGATGGCAGTGTCAAGCTCTGGGATGTCATGACAGGCGTCTTGAAACAGTCTTTGGAGCGGCATTCAAATGATAAAGAGAACGTCTCGTTGGTTTCTTTTTCGCCAGATGGTCAATTCCTCGCGTCCGCCACTTTTAAGGATCGCACTGTTAAGCTTTGGGATCTTACCGCAGGTACATTGCAGCGGACGCTTAGCCATCCACAGTGTTCCCCTTGCTGTCCGATTTTTTCTCCTGACGGCCGCTTCTTGATTTCTCTTGCATGTGACCCCGACTACCCTACAATCTTCCTCTGGAACTTGGTCAGTGATTGCTTTGAGCAGGAAACAGCCAACACCATAGGAGATGCGGATTGTGTAGCATTCTCCCCCAATAGCCAGCTTTTAGCGTTAGCATCAGCTGATGGCTTGGTGAAATTGTGGGACCTTGCTTCCGGCAATCTTCAGCAGACCTTGGAAGGTCACAAAAGGCGAATAAAACGTGTCTCATTCTCTCATACTGGCCAGTTTATCGGGATCCTATGCGAGGAACATAGATTCAGGATCTGGAACATCGTGACCGGCGCAGAGAAGATCCTTCCGGCTCAGATATTTGCCGGAATCTTCTCGCCCACCGAGAAAGTTCTCGTGACTGTGTCGCATGAATTTTCGTTATCTTCTTGGGATCCTGACACAGGCCTTCCTTTGAAGGACTTTCAAGGCAAATATTGCAATTATGATCAAGCATTTTCTCCTGACGGCAAGCTCTTGGCCCTTGCACAGGACCAATCGCAAGTCACGATATTGGATATGCCGACAGGTATTCTGCATCCTCCTTTTGGCGCACACGCTGATAGCGTATTATCTATGGCTTTCTCCCCCAACGGCCAATTTCTTGCGTCTGCCTCGGCGGATAAAGTGGTGAAGATTTGGCATGTTGGTGCAGGTATACCAAAGCCTGAACAGTGTTATGAGGGTCATTCAAGCAGAGTTTGTTCATTAACCTTTTCCACTGACGGTGAGATCCTGGTCAGTTGCTCGGATGATGGAACAACTGCACTATGGTGCCCAAAGACGGGCAGTTTATCCCAAAAGCAACTATTGGGAGGTTCCCCTCCACCATACGTTGCGTTGGCACCCAGTGGCAAAGTTCTCGTTTCTATTTCAGTCAACAAAGAGATCAATCTGTGGAGAATAACGAAGTCCACAATTGAACCCATTCCGACCTTTCAGGGTCTGAGCTCTAGAGACGAGCCACGTGAGACCAGTAAGGTGGTCTTCTCTCCCTGTAGCCGCATTTTAGCCTCCCTTTCGAAAGAAACCATTCAGCTTTGGGATACAGACACCGCAACGGGCTCTCTCCGCCTAAAACATACTCTGGATGGGCATTCGGATCATATTTGGGATACTCTATCATTTTCGCCAAATGGCCAGCTTCTAGCTACTTCCTCAAAGGATAAAACGCTCAAGCTTTGGAACACCACAACAGGCTCTTTGGAGAAAACATTTCAATGCCATCCGATGAATGTTCCCCGTTTGGAGTTCTCTCCCAATGGCCGGTTTATCGCTTGCTATTCGATTGGTGAGCATAGAAGAGATCTCTCTCTCCTAGAAATTGCTACAGGAGACCAAAAACAGATCTGGAGATCTGTAGGATATACCCGCAGATTAACGTTCTCTCGAGATGGCTCATATTTGAATACTGATTTTGGATACCTGGACATCCAGCCTGAGTATTGGAAAAGTCCCATTTCTCCAGGGGATGATGTGGAGATTTCCATATTAAAGTCACACTGGGTGACATTTAACTGCCGAAAGATATTATGGCTGCCCCCGGAGTACCGACCCAGCTGCTTCGCGATCTATGGCAATGTTCTTGTGCTTGGATATGGATCAGGAAGGGTTTTGTTTATAAACTTCTGTCCATAATGGTCTTGTGAAGGAACTCAGATGGGATTTTCTTTGTCAAGCGCGTCTTTTCAATTCAATATATATATCTGGGTGCATGGTAGTACTTTGTAAGAGCAGAGCTCAGCTACATGGGAGAAGTAGGTGAGAAGTAGGGTGAGTGGTGAAGGGACTTTGATAGGAAGGGCAGGAACACGCTTAACCCGAAGTGGCACGCTAAACCATATCAGGTAATTCATAGAGACTACGATAACTATAGAGCAAGAAAGCATTACAGCTAAAAGTGGCATGTATACAGATGCATATTCTATAAATTCTATACATTAAATACTCACTGAAACAATTATGGCAATTTTCCAGACGTGGGGAGAATTGAATGAACTGATGATTCATGCACTCCAACTCAATCCAAGGCAAATTCCCCAACTACGTCACTGCGCAATCATCCATGCTTGGCCCTGTCTTGCTTTGCAGCTGTCTTTAAAATCTTCCAATGTTTCTATTCTCTTCACTTGTATATTCATACTCCATTCTTGCTGAACACCAAAAATACTCCTATAAATTTGTCCAACACAACACACCATGAAGTTGAACCTGGCCACTGGCCTCCTCTGCTTGCTCGCTTCCACTGAAGTAGTGGCAGCTTCCAGTTGGTGGAGCAAAGCTAGTCTGTTGTCCTGGATACAAATATTCCCTTTCGCAAGCTAACATTATCGGCAGTCTACAACAGATGGCATGAAACCGAGCTCGAGCGATGGCTCTCGGACCATAGTATGTAGCACTTCTCTTTCTAGCAGCTTCATATACTCACATTTTGTACAGATATTCCTCATCCCAGCCCTGCCGACCGCCGCGACCTGGAGAACCTGGTAAAGGCCAATTGGGATAACAGGGTTCAGAAGCCCCTTGGGCAAGCTGCGGAGAACATCAATCATGAGCTCCACCATGCCAGAGAATGGGTCTTTGATACGTAAGGCGCTCATATTTCCCCGTTATGGGTGAAAGCTAACTGGTATAGTTGGTCCGACTCTCAGTTGAAGGCATTCCTTGATCGCCACGGCATTCCTGCTCCCCAACCCCGCAGGCGCGACCTTTTGATCAAAGCCGCACGTGAGAACTATGAGAAGATCGCCACCAAGATTGGTGAAACGGCTTCCTACCCCGGAGAATGGCTGTATGAGGAGTGGTCCGACTCGGATCTCAAGGAATGGCTCGACGAGCGTGGATGGCCGGTGCCCCAGCCGTCCGACCGTGACAAGCTCATTGCGTCTGTTCGCCGCAACTCGCGCATTATCAGCTTGCAGTCCCAGAGCATTGCTGCATCTGCATCCGCTGAGGCTGAGGCCGCCAAGGAGACACTGAGTGATCAGCTTTTCAACGCCTGGTCCGACTCGAAGCTGAAGGAATTCCTTGACGAGCACAATGTCAAGGTGCCTCAAGGTTCGAAGCGCAATGAACTCATTGCTTTGGCCCGGAAGAACCGTTCCTATCTTTCCGGCAAGGTGTCGAGTGCCTCATCCGCTGTAGAGGAGACGTTTGGCGCTGCTACCACCAAGGCTGGGAACGAATATACACGCGCTACCGATTACGCCAAGCTGAAGATCGAGGATGCTTTCGAGACTGCGTTGAATGGCTGGTCTGACTCCCGCCTGAAGGCGTTCCTTGATGCCCGAAGCATCCCCATCCCTCAGAGCGGCAAGCGTGATGAACTCGTTGCTAAGGTCCGCGCCAACGCTCACAAGGCTGCCGGTGGGTGGAACCGATACAACTTCGATACTTGGGATAAAGAGCACTTGGTGTAAGTACATACCTGTCTATTGATTACATGATCTCGCCGGCTTACCTTTCTCAGGAACTACCTGTCTGCCGTGAACCACAAGGCAGCTCAGCAGGCTGATGCCTCACGCGAGGAGCTTATTAAAAATGCAGAGGACTCATATGCCAAGGCTTCCAAGGCTGGCGGCGAACAGTACGCCTCTGCAACTGCTGCCCTTGCGCAGGCGACTGGCACAGCCAAGGATGCCACTTTCGACCAATGGTCGCAATCCGAGCTCAAGAGATACCTGGACAACTATGGCGTTCCTACCTACCAGGGCTCGAGCATCAATGAGCTCCGAGCTGCAGCTCGGCGCAACGCCCAGTACTTTAAGTATGGTACCGCAAGCCCGCAAGCTACCATCTATGCCAAGGTTGTGGATACTTTGCAGTGGGTTGCGGATCAGTTGAAGATTGGCGCTGCTAGCGGCCGCGCTCAAGGCTCTGAAGCCGCTGAAAAGGTTCAGAAGAAGGTCTCTGAGCACACAGAGAGACTGCGTGGAGAACTTTGAACTACTCCTCTCATATTCGGATCTTTCTTATTGCTTTTCTTCTACAACAAAGTTGGGATGCACGATGAGTTTTGTGATATCTTTTTAAGTCACGATGATTATGATATTTGGATTGTAACATTTGAGCTCCAATGTTTTTATTGTAAACGGCGGACCAGTGTAACCTCCCTTCAATGCCCTCCGATATAAAAGACCCGTCTTCGCTACTCCTTTCTCTTACTTTTTCATTCTTCCTACCTCTCTATGTTATACTTATTGCCGCCCCCTTTCTTTTACTCTAACCCCTACCGATTACTATACATTTGCTTTCAGCCCGACGTAGTGCCCCTTTCATTTTTACCGGAGATACCGCTTGATCCGACATCTAGACCTTAGTAACCCCTATAGGACTAAAATTCTTTTAGTCCTATCATCCACTGCGCTGACGTACTACAATATTGAATTTATTTTTATTTTTCTCAACTCCGCAATTTCGAGGCCACTGTGCTTGTTCAGCTGAAAAGTATACAGGAAGCATTGGCGAGAAGTGGAGATACATCGCGACACCCGCCAACCTTATCAGGCAATTCTCGCCGGGGACTTACTACTTTCAGTAATTCTAATAATGCTGCACAAATGTCGCCGCTGGTCGGACAGAATTAGGACTCGATACGCGATGTGTTTTGCGGAGTACCGAGGAACCCCTTGGTCAACCATCGGCGATGATCTCTATAGACGGCGATTCTCGGTTTCACCATGGTTCTTGCACAATACACGAATTCTGATAGTGTTTAACATGTGGGGAAGCTTGTGGTTATGTCGGCTGATAGTACAGATCTGCTCTAGAGCAGAGAGCAGATGTTGATATATAACCCGGATCTCAGACAGTGGAAAAGTCGCAATCTACCTCTTTACTAGACAATCTAAGAACTTCACCTCACCACAGACCTTGAGCCATGTCGTACGGGGACCGCCGTGTCAAGTTTGCGCTTTTCGGCCTTGGTCGCTTGGGAGTCCTTCGAGCCCGCATCCTCGCCTTCCAGCAGCCTCGGATTGAACTTGTCGCCGTCTGCGACACGAAGCCAGGCACTGACAAATGGGCCGCAGAGAATCTGCCCCCGTCTGTCAAGTATTTTTCAGACCCTCAAGAATGCTTGAAGAACAGCGACGCTGAGGCAGTCCTCATTTGCACCGCGACGGCTACTCACGCGCCCTTGATACTGCAGGCCCTTGATCTAGGCTTGCACGTCATGTGCGAGAAGCCTGTCTCTGTGGACATCGCTACTACTAAGGCAGTGGTCGAGAAGTCTGCTTCTAGGCCTGACCTCAAGTTTCTCGTTCCCTTCACTCGCCGATGTAAGTAACACTAGGCCGCGCGCTTTACAGAGTTCAGAGACTTACTCACACCAGATGACACGTCCTACCGCCAAGCTAAGGCCCTGATCGACAATGGAACCCTGGGTGAAATCCACGCCGTTGAGACCACTGGTATCGATCAAGCAGACCCCAACGGTATGGCCCTAATTGCCTCCAATCGTTGTCTTTCGCATAGGCTGATGGACTGACTATTCTGATTAGCCTTTTTTGTGTCATTTTCTGAGCAGTCTGGCGGCATCTTCCTCGATTTTGGCATCCACACCGTGAGTCCCAGTATTCTTGCTCACTCACTGTCCTATTCACTAACACGGCACTAGGTCGACGCCGGACGATACCTGTTGGATGTCAAGTCAGGCCTCTCCAGCCCTAACAAGCAAGTCAATAGAGTCATCGCCTTCGGCCAGGTGGCTGTCTACGGTGACTTAGCTAAGTATGGCGATGCCGACAACGCATGGGGCCTGGTGGAATTTGCCAATGGCAAGATTCTTAAGACTTACCTTGGTCGCACCCTCACCAGCGGTTTCGAGGATACAACTCGATTGTGTGGCACCAAAGGACATTCGATCATCAGCGCTAACTCGAATGTTGAGATTCGCGACCATCTCGGTATTCGCACACAATCTGTGCCTGACGCATTCACTCTCTTCGATACGACATTCCTGACTGACCTTGCTGAGTTCGCCGATGCAGTGCTTGATAACAAGCCCTTGACTTGTCAACCAGAGGATGCCTTTGAGGCGGGCAAGATTTGCGCTGCTCTGCAGTACTCATTCCGCAAAGGTGTTCCCGTATATTTCGACGACAATGGTCTACCCATCATGGAATAATGTATGTAGTGGTTGCATATATTACAAGATAGAAAGAAAATAGACATAAGATCAGAAGTCTTCCTTTCTAATTTCATGGCACTTGTGGGAGAAGTGTATTATGTTTCAAGTTTACAGTATTGCAACTCAGATCAAAATCGGCCTTGTAGCCGCTACGAAGTACTCTACAGACTATTGACCTCCAGAGGTCTACGATAAATTAGTTTTAACGTAAATGTCGAGAATCGGCGCGTTATGTCATAGTTAGGGAGTATTTTAACAAATCATCTAGGGGGAATGGAGCCCAAC